CAGCCCAGGAGGCTGTTTCACACTGCCTCTGCTGTAAATAGATGTAAATCATTATTATTATTATTGTTTCGAACCGCTGTATGCCTGCTCTCTCTTCCTCATCTCCTCCTTCCTTCGTATACAGATCCTATATTGACAGTCTTTAAAAAACAACCCCTGGACAGTGAAGGCAGCACTTTTTTTTCTTTTTTTTTTTAAGGGGCTGCCTCATGAAATCCAGAAGCCTGTACGAAGCTCGTGTATTCTGCAGCACTGGATCGTTTGCAGGCTGCGTGTTATGAGCAGGAATCCAAGCAAGCATCAAGCTGTGGTTGTTGTCATCTCAAGCTGAGCATGTGGGGTTGAGCTTAAAACTATTTGCTTGTTTACAGAGCAAGAATTGTAAAACCTCGGTAGATTTTGAAGAAAATCTTGTTTTCTGCCTCACATTGAATAAGTAAACACAGATGAATTAATGCTTTTTGGATAGAAGGTGTTTCCATGGCTTTTTGGAGGCTCCAAGGTGCTGGAGTGCTGCTGCATGCTAAAGAAGCATGAGCAGGCAGAAGGCTTTTGCCTTGTATTCCTTCTGGTGCTGCCTTCTCTGAGATTACTTGCTTGTCCTCTCAAAAGGCAAAGCAGCACTCATTGGACTTCCAGAATGAACTTCAAAGCAGGATGGGCTGTGTAGCATGCATATGACTTGCAGCATGTTTAGATGCGTTGAGTCAGCAGACAGATTTCATTTAACTGTGATTTTCAAGTGATCTTGTCAGCTCGCTGTAGTGTTACTGTCTGAGGTTGCTGATGGGATGTGTCTGACAGGGGCTGCAGATGAAATGAGGTCACTGAGATATGGGTATCCTGCAGCAAAAGGACTTGGCTTTAAATGATCCTGGTACTTAACCCTCAGGCCAAGATTCTGATCTTGGCTGAAATACCGTAGTGATTTAAACTCTGAAGAGTAGAGCTTTGCAGACACAACTCTATGGTAATCTTAATTATTGGTTACTGCACATCTGCAGGTTTGACTAGCATGGGCATATCTGAGATGGGCTGAGAAGAGGGAGATGAATATCTGCACCGTCAAAACATTTGTATGGTGGAACAGCAGGAGTCTTGTTAATTGTTTTTAAGTAAACACCCACAAAAAAAAAAAGCTTCCAGCAGCTGCAAAATGCAGGGAAATAATCTTGGAAAACAGTCAGATTTCTTGGACTTCCTGGTTCACATGCAGTCCTGCATCCTGATTGTGTTCAGATAGCCAGGGAGGGAGAGTGGGGGAAAACAGGTTGAGATGTGTATGGAAGGAGTGCAGCAGAGCGGAGCGGTGGAGTGCTGTCTGCATGAGTGTGCTTTTGGAGGTGGTGGATCTAAGCTGGTCATGCAGTTAGAAAGGAGGCAGGCAAGGAAGCACTGCTCAGGGTTAGAAGCACGGTTTTTACAGAGAACTGTTAAATGATTCTGTGTATAGGAGCCAAACGCCTTCTCTCTTGGCTGTTTCATACGTGTTATTATTCCGGTGTATAGGTGGTTTGTTGGGAAATGTGATGAATTGACGCCTGCTGGTGAATTTGCTCTTGCTTTCTTTCTAGATTTTGGAAGAGGTAGTTGGATCCTCGTGAAGGTGCTTTGTGCAGGTGCGTAATGGAAGGCCTGCCCACTTACTGCTGAGCACTGAGTGTGCGGTGTGTTGAGCTTGCTGGTATGAGATGAGTAAGATAAGAAGCGAAATTAACATCAGTGCCTTTCATCTAGGGAAGCTGTGTCATAAGGCATGCTGGTTTGTTGAGCCACCACAACAACTCGGAAGCCAGGGTCTCAAGCAGCTGCAACCCCCCGGTATCATACCATATGGTGGCTGCAGATACAGAAGTTCCTGAGCAGTTGATGGCAAGAAGGTGACAGCAGAGGCAGGCATCAGCAGCTATCTGAGGGCTGTGACAAGGGTGCAGCTGAAGCAAAACAAGCCTTCGCTGGCTCTGCTGGAGCAGCCCTGCAGCTTTGGAGCCTGCGCTGCAGGAGCTGGGGCTGCGGGTGCCTGTCTGGCCAAAACAGTGAGTTGTGAAGCTGCCGAGGATCGTGCTGCTGTAAACAAATACCCACTCATCCCCAGGTGGGCTGCCAAAGCAGCTCTTCCAGGTCTTGACCCAGTCCTTCCTGCGCCTGTGGGGCTTGGGAGAGGGAGCCTGTGAGCAGTGTGGGCTGAATCCCTCCTTCTTAGAGAATCACGGACTGGTTTGGGTTGGAAGGCACAGTTAAGGTCGTCCAGTTTCAACCCCCTGCTATAGGCAGGGACACCTCCCACTAGAGCAGGTTGCTCAAAGCCCCATCCAGCCTGGCTTTGAACAGCCTCAGGTGTTATAGCCAAGGTGGTGGTTGCTCTTGTCTTGGAAGGCAGTGGCATAGAAATAAAACAAGCCCTGTGTTTGTTTATTCTTTTTTTGTGTGTATTTTTTTTCTTTCCTTCTATGAGAGAACCTTCTTGGAAAAGCCATGTAGGCTTCAAAACATCTGATGCATAGGAGTAGGCAACCTTTTGCTTCTCCACTTTTGAGAAATGCTTTGTAAGGTGGTGGCGAAATGACAAAGTTATGGAAGAACTGTCATAGGTAGGACCCCGAAAACAACTCTTGGCTGCTGTAGGAACCTCTCGTTGGACTGCATTGAGATCAGTTCAACTGGTAACTGAAAACAAGGAGCTAGTGTGAGATAAGTCATGACACGGCTGCTGTGCCTGTCCTGGGGAGGTCTGTTGTGCTTGTAATTTAGTCACTCCTGTGTAAGAAGTGTAGGAATTCTTTAAAGGTAGTAACAAATGTATAGGTGAACTAAATTTGAGTGTGGTTCTTCTATTGTTCTTGCTCTCCCCGGGCAGTAGTAGCCCCAAACATGCAGAAGTTTAATGTTGAGGATCTCTTTTATGCATGACTGAATTTAGGTAGACCTTTGGGGGAAGGATTGGGTACAGGTAAAACCAGAGGTGCTGTTATACGGATTTGCTGCTGCTGTGTCAAGTCGAATTTCTTCAAGAAAAGGAAAAAAAAATATATCTATATATATATATTTTCATTATTTTCTCTGTTATTCATTTTGCATCATGTAAATGGGCAGATGGGGATCACAGAAGAGTAGGGGTTGGAAGGGACCTCTAGAGATCACCTAGCCCAACCCCCCTGCCAAGGCAGGCACCCTGCAGGTTGTACAGGTAGGTGTCCAGATGGGTCTTGAATATCTCCAGAGAAGGAGAATCCACCACCCTCTGGGCAGCCTGGTCCAGTGCTCCATCATTCAGACAGTGAAGAAATCCTTCTTTGTGAGGAGCCTGTGTGTTCCAGAATCTGTTAGCTCTGTTCTGAATTTTTATCTGCAGCTGAGATTGCTTGTGCCATAACATTACCTGCTATTTTCATTGGAAATGAATGATACTAGTATTTGCTAATGTCTGGTCCAAGCTGACCTGAGTCTTCAACAGGATGTGCAAATTAATGGAACTGGAAGAACACTTGAGATGGCAGAGACCTGTAGGGATTAGAAATGACACTTAAGTAATTTTCTCTTAATTTAATGTGTAACGTAAGAGAGCATTCCAGGTCTCTGAAAATGCAAGATAGGCAGGGAAGCTTGGAGAGCTGTAATGCTGAAAAACTTGCGGTAGGGAGAAACAGACAGTGAAAGGTTTTGGTTTTTTTTGTGTTGTTGTTCTGAAACAACGTGTGCTTTGCATTGTTCTGCAAACCAAGGAAGTACCGTCATAAAGCAGAGCCCAACAGAAGTGGCTGTGCTGGTGTTTAAGTCTCAGACCCACTGTTGTTGCCCTACTGAAAGGGAACACCAATAGCTAATGACAGGAGGGAGAGTAAGGTAAGAGCTCTTCCAAGAATAAATGGGACTGTTTGGAATGCAATGGCAAAGATAAATTGTGGGCAGATGCTCATTGTGCAAGCAGCAGTAGTAGTTAATATCATAATTGTCCTCCGCCCAGGGAATATTGCTGCCTTTGCTGAAGGCTACCACACCCTCAGATCGGCTGCTGGAGCAGCTTGGGGTGAGTGCTGCCTGCTTTGCTTTCGGCAGCATCAGCTGGTTTAATGGAGATGGGCTGGCTGGTTTGTGCCAGCCTGGCTTGCAGCGTGAAGTGGGTTACGGGGTGCTGGGTGCAAACTGATCTTGCTAGCGAAGCTGTGAGGGCAGCGAGTCTGTTTCCTCTGGACTGTTGTCTTCTACCATGGTGTCCTCAGGGTCTACAAGTTTTCTGCTGAGGGCCTGAGTGCTGACGATGCTTTTGGTGCAAAGGAGGAAAATAATCTGTGCTCATGTAATGCTTTGTGTAAAGGAGTCGAGTCGTTCTGCCTGCTTCAGTGGCTCTACCTGATAGCGTGTATCTGCGGCAGGTCTCTGTTTGGATTATTTTTGGGGTGTGTAAAGGACGTTAGGTGAGCTAACTTGGCGCTCTGCTCTCTTCTTTCTTTAATATGCAGCTTAAAAATAATGGAGAGCAGTGGATTTTTCCTTGGCAGTATGATGTTGCTTCTCAGTAAACTGCTGGAGGCTTGTGCAGAGTGGGTGTGAAATGGATTGTGTGGGCTTTTTTCCTTCCTGCTCCAAGACCACTTCTTGGCACCAAGAAGTTTTTCTTTAGACTTCTTCGGGGAACAGATGTGTGAAGTACAGTTACCACTCATGCATATGGCTTTTAAAATATGGAAGCTGTTGGACTGAAGTGGCTTCATATGGTATTGTTGAAGGATCAGAATGAACGTGCAAGTTTAGGTTTTTAAGGCTTGAATGTGTAGCTGAAAAGTTTTTTTGGGTTGTTTTTACAAGGTTAAATATTTGCATTTTCATGGTTATTTAAGATTACACTCATAGCTGTGAAAGTTATTCTTTCTGCAACTTTCAGTGCCTAAAATGATATCCTCACTTAATCTCTTCCCTTGGGGTGTGGGGGGGAAAGTATAATGCATAATTAAAATAGTTGTAATTTTTAATTCTCTAATGCAGACATCTTTTTATTGCAGGTTCCCAGTTTGAAAACAGTTAGAAGATACTTTGCCACCATATTGGATTACTTTGTGTGCAACTCAGCATGTCACTTTGCCCTGGATTTTATAAGGTGGCCATAATTTAACCCCCACTTTCAGTTTCTATGTATCAGTGAAGCATTGGAGCTCTTTAGAGCTGCTGTTACTTGTGTGGAAACTGATCCGTCTCCAATCCCTTCTCCAAAGGACTTGACGTTACCAGCGATGAGCTCCCAAAGCCATCCAGGTAAGGACAAAACCCCTTTGAATTTAGAAACAAGAGCCAGACATCACTGGGCTTGGCCAAAAATGTGCTGTATTTGAACTGCATAATAGTTTATGTGGCATGAGAAGGCCTTGTGTTGTGTTTTGGTTTGTTTTTTTTTTTTTTTTGCTTTTTGCTGCTTTGTCAGAGTAATAATTCAGTCTTTGCTTCTTTCTTCATAGTTGAGATCTTGTGAAGGTGGAAAGTTGCATTGCTCTTATCAGCCATGAGGAATTTCTGCCTGTTTTATGTTTTCTGATGGTTGTGTTATGTGCACCTGAACGCACTGAAAGGTCTGGGTGTTTGCTGAGATGTGAACCTGATGATTAATTCTGCCAAAACTGCACTGATAAGTCTTAATGTTATATGGTATTCCTACAGGGAGTGGTCACAGTTCTGCTAGTGAGTGTTAGTTGATGTTTAAGAAGAAACCTCTTTTAAATTGGAAGTACTTTTTAGTACAAAAGCAGAGTTTAGTGGGAACAAGAGTTCATTAATCCATCTCAGTGCTGGCCGGGGGATTATCCCTAATGTGCTTTGTAATTTAAGACATGAAAACTACAAAACTGTGCGTTTCAATTGTGCTTTTGAGCTGTATTGATTTGTATTTAGTGAGTGTCAGGTAAGCTACTGTTAGGCTTTTAGGTTTGTGAGCTTGGAAGAAGAGTTTTTATTTGTGTTCCAGTATTGCTGGTTGTTTCAATTCTTGGTTAGGAACAGTGACCACAGAAAGGTAATCCAGCAGTGGCGAGGCACATGGAACTGCTTGCTTAATTATGCTTTCGACAGGTTGCTTTTGTGACTTCCATTGAATCAGTTTTGGGTTAACAGCTGAATAAGACTAAAGTTAATCAGCATCTCCATAGATTTAAGGAACCATGTGTTTGTAGGGGAAGGATTTTATATGTGCTTCAGGATGATTAATAGCAGTCCATTAGTGGCTTCTGAGGCTGGGAGCAAGAAATGTTGCAGCAGACTTGGATGCTGGAGGTTAGAAGCAGCAAGGCTGAAAATCTGAACCTTGCATAATACCTGTTTTATAATTCCGTAATGTAGCAGTCTGTTAGATTTTCAGACATCTTTCTGGTGTTACAGGGAGTGGGGAAATTAAATATGTATGAGTAGTGTTCTGCATGTAGGTATTCAGCTTTGATACAGTTTTTGCAGTACAGTGCTTTTCTAGAGGTCTGTTTTTGAAGTATGTGGATGGTTCTTATTGGAACAGGCTGCCCAAGGAGGCTTTGGATGCCCCATCCCTGCAGGCATTCAAGGCCAGGCTGGATGTGGCTCTGGGCAGCCTGGGCTGCTGGTTGGTGACCCTGCACACAGCAGGGGTTGGAACTGGATGAGCGCTGTGGTCCTTTTCAACTCAGGCCATTCTGTGTTTCTCCATGAGACACTGAGGAGCTAATGGCCTTCTCCATTTTCCTGCACAGTAGTTGGATAGATTGAGCACACAGCTACGTTAAGAACCAGCAAATAAACCTAATGATGAGCAGCATCTCTCCCAATGTTCTGGAAAGAGAGATGTCATTAATAGCTGGGCTGTTCTGTTGGCTCTCATGGCTGATTTGTCTTGTTCTCCTTTAATTTGAATGCGAGCTCATCCCTTGTTCACCTTGCCCTCATTTGGTTCCCAAGATGTGTGAGGGAGTCCTGTAAGAAGTGCCAAGGACAGAAGGCAGAAGCTTGCCATGCAAGGAGGAGTTTTTGTGGTGCTAAAAATCAATTTAAGACTTTTGCAACAGACATGTTTTGGTGTGATTCTTGCTGGAATAGTTGGTTGCCTCAAGCCCAGAGAAGCAGAACTGGGTGGTTCTGGATACATATGCATTTTCCTGAGCTACAGCTCCTAAACTTCTTGGCCCACTGTCACACACAGGAGCTTGGAGTGAGGTATGCGTTGGCTCAGTGTGAGCTGAAGCTGTGAATCCTCAGTGTTTGGGAGGAAATTTCACATTGGCAGTAACCCTTGAAGTGAAGGACTCCTGTCGTCAGCTGTTTTGCTGGAGATCTCTTAATTTTTGCAAGTTCTTCACCTTAAAAAAATAAAATAAAAGCACAGGAAGTGATTTGACAGTATTTTTACATTATGGTGTTTTAGATGTTGGCTTTGTTTGGCCATATCTCCAAGTGCTGGGTTGATATTCTAGAGTGTGTTGTGGTGGGTTTTTACCTCTAGCTCACACCATGGTGTTCTTACTGCTTGTTTCTCTCTGAGAGTCAGTTTTATAACATTTAGTAGAAACAATATCTAAGCGTGGCCAAAGATGACATCTGGACTTCTCATGTCAGTTTTGATAGCTATTTTGATTATACAGCTATGGGTAATTATTACTAATGATGTGTGTTGTTTAAGGGAACGCTCTGCTTTAACTCAAGAGCCTATTAAATTTTGCTTCAGTGGATACGAGCTTTCTTCTCTAATCTTCTCCAAACCTATCACAAATGGGACTTTTTAGGAGTAGCACCATGAAATTGTTGCAGTGTAGCTGAATGAAAGTGTTTTCTTGTTTATTTTTTTTTTCCTTCACTCTGCAAAGCTGTCTTGTGGGAATAGCTGCATACTGAAGGCTTCTCTCTGAACAAGGCAAAAAAGATATGGACAATTAGGTAGTCTAAGGAAAATGACTTTTCTTCCCCTATTGTTGCCATTTCTTGTATTATACTTTGGAGTAACTTTGCTAAAAGAATAAGAATCTGTGGAGAAGAAATGGTGTCGTGGGGCCCCCCCCCCCCCCCCAAGGGAAGTGACTCCTCAGGAGCTTCCAGTGGATGTTCCAGGCTGTGTTAAGCCCTAGCTGTAGGGGAAAGACCATGACCTCTTACTGCTGATTTCTGGCTCGGAGGCTTTCTGCAGTTCTTACTTGAGCTCTGGGTTGGGATAATCAGCTCCTAGGAGCTTGAGGAGCAGGGGGAACAGCAGTGTGGTGCTGGGGTCCCTCTTTTCCACAAGCACCAGCCGCTCCTAATGAAGCACCATCCAGCTCCCTGCAGGTACTGGTAAGCTCTGTGGTTGCCTGGGCAGGAACGTGAATCATTTTGGGTGGAACTGCTGGGCAGGCTGGGGGCAGGGGGAGGGGATGGGGCTGCAGTTGAAGGCTGGGGAGGCAGAAGGAGGGAGCTATGTGGAGCTCATCACCACAAAGTGCAGAGGCACCGGGTGCCCTTTGGCAGAGGAGTTGCTGCTTGAGTGCTCAAACAAAGCTGAAAAAATGCTGAAATTGTGCTATAAAATATCAAGATGCTGCGAAGCGTAATTAAGAAAATTAGTCAAATTAAGATAACGTTTAGGATTATGATGAAGTTTGGGATGCATGGACAAGCATGTTTAGTTTCACTTCTTAACTTGCTATGTCGCCCACAGTTTAGGCTTACCTTATGTAACCTTTAGTGCTGGTACCTCTTGTGCACAACCAAGTCTGCCCAGGCAAGGCATGGATGTGGGCTTTTTTTAATTTCCTCTCATTGACCTGAAATGATTTTTGGCTGTCATCTTCTGCCTCTCTCACCTAATTTTCAGTGGCTTAAGTTTCACTGTAATGTCATTCTTTAATCAGTAAAGATTGTTCTACTGATACCGGTTATACATAGAGACCAGTTTAAAAAAACCTAAATGCTTAAAGTTAATCACTCGACTGATTTGTATTTGTTTAAAGTTCACTTTCCTTTGTAAAAACTGGAAATCTCTGTGCTCAATGAAGCGTTTTGTTTATGAAATGTTATCTTACAGGAATTAGTCCGAATGCAAATGCTGTATTCCTTCTTCAGAGCTGCTCTTGCAGGGTTGCAAATGTTATTTACATCTTGAAGTGCTGAATGTTTGATAATTAGGAATATTGAAATTTAAGAATGAGTTGCCTATCTAGTATGGAAAAATCTGCAGTGCGATCATTAAAGCTGAGAGGAGATACCAGACAAAGCAGAAAAGTGATCACAGAACACAAGGAAAATGAGTTAGCAAGTCATGTGCTGTGATTTTGCTAGACTGAGAAGTACTTTTGTGTGGCATTTTATCTGCCAAGTGTAAGAAGCCACTCTCCTTTCACATTCCATGGCTTAATGAGGCATGGAAAGCCATTTCATGCACTATACATAAGAGCTTTCCCTGTTAGTCTTTCAAACATTTTGCACCATAAAATAAATATTTTATGCATTCTCTTTTTAAAGATTAAGAAGTTTCTGTGGAGATGCATTTCAAACTGGCTTTAAATGACACTGACCTACTTTCTGGCAGTAATCAGTCCGCTTCTGTAAGTTATCTGGGGACAAGAGCGTTCTTTCAATAAACATAAAGAGCATACGAGTAAATTCCAGTCTTCCTTCAGCACAGCTTGGGCACGGCTGATCCTTGGTGGCTGTTGTCTGGAAGATGATTTGGATATGGCATATCTATGCTTGCCCCTGCTTGTCTGGTGCTTCACTTTGCTACAGCTGAGTTATTTTAGATTGGGCATCCAGGTCTCTATTTACAAGTAGAACACTCGTGAGTTTGGGCACAACCATTATCTCACATTCTGTCTCTTCTCTACATGAGAAGACAGGGATTTCTAGTATCCCTGCTTTCCCCACTGCTGAGAGTGTGAAGCTGGTTAAATGGAAGCATTCAGCTGGTGGGCAGGACAGCAAAGGAGCAGGAACTCAGTGGCAAGAGCCTCAGTCTTGAACCTGTTGCCCTGAGAAACTCCTTCCAGGCGTGGGGATCAGCTGAGAAATAAACTCAGCAGCAAGATCTGCCACTAAGAAATACTCACTGCTGCTGCTGGTCCATGTGGGATAAAGTAAGCTGTATGGCAGCGTGGCCACGGGGGTGATAAGTACAAGAAACACTGAGAAGATGTCCCTGCTTCAGACTTACGACTGACTTTTTTCCCTGTGTTTGTTGGAGAGCTTTTTGCCATTCTTGGTCAATGCTGGCATCTTGAGGCCTCTTCTTGTTTTTGTACTTGTCAGCTTTTTCTTCTCTAAATGCATTACTGAGA